TCAGTGCATTCAGTCTTTGCTGCTTATGTGATTTCTCAGTGCAGGAACCTCCCACTTTCTGTCCCTCAGATGTTATAGATCCTTTGTAATCTGTCCCTAATTTTTTGCAAACTGAATCTTTGACTCTTCCTGGCCATAATGTTTGGTTAATGTTTGCTCCTCTTCATGCCTTTTTTCTCAGCCATCTTCACTTTGTTTAATACTCTTCTTTCTCCTGAGAAGGCCTGTGTGGGTGGAGTTCTCTGCCCCCGCATTTCTTTAAACTATTCCCTCCTAGAGTACACCCTCTGAGGGTCTGTGGCCAAATAAGTTAGGAAAATGGTTTCTTGTTTAAATGGAGTTTTATGCTAATGTGTATTATAAATCCTTCAAAAGATGGTATTGCATGTGGGATTTCTCAAACTGTTTGGACCTAAAGAATTGAAAATACTCCCTCCTTTCTTCCCTCCCTCCTTCCTTTCTTTTCTTCTCTTTCCTTTTAATATTTCATGGGGCCAGAATGTCGTGGTACATGTCTTGGAGGCTACAGCACTGACCATTATAGCTGAGGTTATGGATTCGTATGTAGGGGGACCCCAAGGCCAGACCCTGGGACCAATTGTATTCCCAGGTGGGGCATCACAAGGGCATCAGTCAGCCCTGCTGTTGCTCTGCTGGAAATTCATATTTTGCATCTAGAACTGCTCTCACCATCTTATCTGATAACCAAGTAGCTGTCTTAGAAGGCATTCCAGTAGGTGCTTCCCTGCTCTTGGTCTCCTGTCTGTTATCCCAATTTCTGGTTTTATTTGTGATCCCAAAGTCTTCCATCCTACTTTGTCCCCAGACTTGATTCTATGTTGCTTGTCTCCCCACACAATGCCAACCTATATTTCTACCTGTTTTCTTTCAATTTGCCTTGTCCTCTGCGCCTGTTAGGATACCTTGGTTTTCGTTCTTCGTCCCATGCCCCTCTAAACTTCCTCACTCTTTTCCACGCTGATATGATTTGGCTGCTGAGGAGTTCAGGCTCTGGGATCTGGTAAACTGAGTTCTAATAATTGTAAACTCTTGAGGAAGGTATTTAACTTTGGGTCTCAAATTTTCCCATCAGTAAAGCAAGCTTAACTCCCTTACACTGTTCTGATGAGGATTAAATGAGATAGTCCATGTGAAGTGCTTCTTTTACCCCGTTGTAGAGTAAGAGATCAATAATTATTAGCTATTATATTATTCAAATCCCAAGGGCTTCTTTGATCAATTTAGCCCATACTGAGCTCTCTCATCTCTAAATACTTTAAAATTAGTGTCACAGACTTAACATTTGATTTTGTTTGTGACTTAGTTATAGCTCCCCACACTAGATTTGGAATTTTTTTTTAAATGGATAATTTCAGGAGTGCTTGGATGGCTCAGTTGGTTAAGCATCCAACTCTTGATTTCGGCTCAGGTCATGGTCTCACAGTCTGTGAGCTGGTGCCCTGCATCAATGGAACCTGGTTGGGATTCTCTGTCTCTCCTTTTCTCTTTGTCCCTCCCCAACTCATGCTTCTGCGTGTGCTTTCTCAAAATAAATAAAATAAACTTAATTTTTATTAAGTTTAATTCTATTAATTTTTATTTTAAAAAATTAAAAATGGATAATTTCAAATGTACCATAAATAGAGAGATTAATGGCATCCTTTTGTAGGATCCTTTTTAAAAAATGTTTATTTTTGAGAGAGAGAGAGCGAGACAGAAAGACACAGACAGATCATGAGTGGGGGAGGGGCAGAGAGAGAGGGAGACACAGAATCTGAAGCAGGTTCCAGGCTCTGAGCTGTCAGCACAGGGCCCAATGCGGGACTCAAACTCATGAACTGTGAGATCATAACCTGAGCTGAAGTTGGATGCTTAACCCACTGACCAACCCAGGCGCCCCTGTAGGATCCCTTTGTACTTGTCACTGGATTGGGTCTTTCATGATAGTTCTTTTTCATTCTGTTCTGACATTAAATCTAACATTGCTCTGTACACAGGAAGCATTGGCCTGGGTTGTGACTGACAACAAGCCACCCACTGTGTGTGAGGCTGTGCATAGGATCTCTCTGCTCAGTCTTTCCTGGAGGATGGGTTCACCAAAAGGGCTCTCTTTTCTCTTTCCCACAGATGTGGAGATGGAAAAATAGCAATCAACTTCCTAGATAGACTTCATTTTCCAAAGTGAAAGCCTTCCACCTCCCCTTGTCAGTTCTTCTGCTGAGTCTGGGGCAAAATAGTTTTTGGATCAGCGATTTCCCATTTTTCCCTAAAGTTTTATCAGAATTGCTTTCTGGTATCAGGTTTGAATCCCAGTTCTCGACCTCTGTGGCTTAAAGCAGCAGACTTGAGAAGACAGATCTCATAGCTAAATCTCCACCCCTGACTTTTTTTTTTTTTGCACTGGGTGATTGACATCCAGGGACACAGCATATTGACTTCTCTCAAGATGTTGAACAAAATAAAAACTATGTGCAAGAGGAAACATGATCCTACATTTATTAATGTGGCTTTAGACAGTGTCTCTGGAAACATGTTTTATGCCACAATTCCTCTTGATGGCACTGGAGCCTTAAATATCATAACCAGTCTGGTCTTTCTCATTCTAAATCCTATTATCTAGGTTAGCTCATCTGTATTCAAAAGATCAATGTTGCATTATTACAAAGATCCTTTCAAGTGTAAAAAGGATGGCACTTCATTACAGAAAGTAAAAGAAACTAATCAAACTTTCTTGGTGAAATCATTGACTTTTTTAAGTAAAGGGCAAATTTAAGAATTTGAAAGTCCGAGATGCAAGAGAACTCTGAGGTTTGGGCTCACTCCGGCATGGGCATGAATGCGTCTGGTTGTAGTGTATGGGTCTTGGATAACCTAAAGAAGAAAGAGGCTTTCTCGAAAGAGTCTCAGTGCTTGCAGCTATTCTCGTTTCTTCGTTTCTTCTGTCATTGCGTGGTTCTGTGTCTTGGAAAAAAATGAGCTGCCGGTGGGAAGACTCTGAGTTACAATGCACGGTGTGCCCTATACAGGCAACACTTCCAGTGACTTGGTTAATAGAAATTGTTAGGAAAACACTGGCAAATATTATTTATTCATTGTCTTAACTCTTAACAGACAGCTCTTGTTTCTTCTTATCACCGATTGGGTTTTGTGGGTTGTGTGTTAACAGGCAGGATGTTTGTTAGGGAGAGCTTTTGGGATCAACACCTGTGGAATGGAGGGAAGGAAGTAGGATGAGGTAGGGGATATCTACAATGCATACCCAAGGATACATACATAAAGAAGAGGGGCTCTGGAGCAATAGCAGCTGTTTGGTGCTACCTTTCCTAAGGAGAAAGAAGCCTGCCCTGAGATAGAAATAAACAACCTTGGGAAGGGTACTTGCTTTTAGCAAGCCTTTGGTTTTTGTTGGAGCAATCCCCAAAGGGAGATGAGAGTTGAGGGCTGTTTGCTGGCAGCGCTCCCAGCGGCCTGAGTAAAATTCCTTTTATTTCTGAAAATTGGATCTGGGCAGCACTTCACACTCCTTTTATTTTTATTTTATTTTTTAATGTTTATTTATTTTTGAGAGGGGGGAAGGGCTGAGAGAGAGGGAGACAGAGGATCTGAAGCATTTTCTGTGCTGACAGCAGAGAGCCCAATGCAGGGCTCAAACTCAAGAGCTGTGAGGTCATGACCTGAGCCGAGGTCAGATGCGTAACCGACTGAGCCACCCAGGCATCCCCAACCTCCCTTGACAACTTAAAGGAGAATGTTCATTGACTGCCTTCCATGTACCAGAACTGTTCTAGGTCCTGGGACTTCTTACAGTGATGAATAAGGAATAGTCCTTGCCTTAAAGTATTTCTAATCAGCGTCTTCTGAGTTGTTGACTAGTATGACATGCCATAAGTAATTCTAAGTATTCTGTTTGTATTCACTATTTTGTAAAATGTTTCGGGATGCCTGGGTAGCTCGGTCTGTTGGGCGTCCAACTTTGGCTCAGGTATGATCACACGGTTTGTAGGTTCGAGGCTCGCGTCAGGCTCTGTGCTGATGGCTAGCACAGAGCCAGGAGACTGCTTCAGATTCTGTGTCTCCCTCTCTCTCTGACCCCCCCTGCTCATGCTGTTCTCTCTCTCAGAAATAAATAAAAGATATTTTAAAAATTTTTAAATAAAAAAATAATAAAATGTTTATTTATCTTTTAGAGAGAGAGAGAGAGAGAGAGAGACAGACAGACAGACAGATAGGCAGACATAACGCAAGTGAAGGAGGAGCAGAGAGACAGGGAGACACAGACTCTGAAGCAGGATCCAGGCTTTAAGCTGTCTTTAAGCACAGAGCCCAATGTGAGGCTGGAACTCATGAACTGCGAGATCATGATCTGAGCCGATAGGATGCTTAACTGACTGAGCCACCCAGGCACCCCATGTATTCACTTATTTAACCTGCTAAACCATATGAGATAGCTAGATTTTAGAGATGGGGAAACTGAGGCATGTAGTGGTGAAGCTTAGGCAGGCTTTCCCCAGAGTCTTGATAGCCTGCTACTATACTACCTCCCAAATGTTGCCATTTCAATGAGATCAAAGTCAGTCTCCGTCTTTTTGAGGTTGTGTCTCAACTAGCTGTAACATTTCAGAGATATTTAGTGTGGTATTACCTTACAACTGCATTGTCCATTAATGGTAGCCACTAGTTACATAAGCCTAGTGAGTACTTGAAATGTGGAAAGTCCAAACTGAGATGCTGTTAAGTGCAAAATACACACCAGAATTCAAGGACTTAGATGGAAAAAGAATGTAAAAAAATCTTAGGTCCTTTTATATTGATTTCATGTTGAAATGGTAATATTTTTATATGTTTGTGTTAAATAAAAAAATACTTAAAAATTAATTTTACCTGTTCTTATTTAAAAAATTTTTTTAAAATATTTATTTATTTTTGAGACAGAGAGAGACAGAGTACAAGCAAGAGGGAGACACAGAATCTGAAGGAGGCTCCAGGCTCTGAGCTGTCAGCACAGGGCCCCATGAGGGGCTCGAACCTTCTAACGGTAAGATCATGACCTGAGCCAAAGTCGAATGCTTAACTGACTGAGCCACCCAGGCACCTTTCACCTGTTCTTATTTTTTAATGTGACTAGTATAAATTTTAAAAATTACTTAGTAGCTTCAATTTGTTGCTTGCATTTTGTTTTTATTGGACAGAGTTGCCTTAGAATATCTGAGATTCTCCCTATGGGGACATATTTTGCTCTTAAATTCAGAGAAAATCCTATTTGGTCTGGTATTAGGATCAGGTTCTTTTGATATGCTTCATTTAATTTGTATTTATTAATAGGGATTCTATCCACCAAAGAGCCACTACTTGCTGGTTGTTTCGTGATTGTTGAAAACTAGTTAGAGGCAGCCTGAGTGAGATGAATTAAAGTTCTATTGTTGTAGGGGAACAAGGTCATCAACTTGAAATTAATCAACGGATTTCAAATCACCAGGAAGGGATACTTTACCCTCAGCTTTACAGTTTCAGCATGTAAATTGCTGTTTAGAGGAGAGTCTGTAAAATCAATCCAGCCTTTCTCCCTTCAGAAATTAAAAGCAATTTATTTCTATTTTAGGTGAATCCTGGGAAACACTTATACATCCAACTCCTTCACCCTGGTGCCACCTGTATTGCATGTTGTTTTCGATCTTTGAGTAGGAAGGTAGGAAATTCGGCTGTCTTGGTGTCCCACAGGATTTGGAGGAGACACCTCTGATCCCTGTTGGGGAGCCCATCTGTTTCCACCTGATACATTTTATTTCAAATGAGTCAGAAACCCCAAAGCTAAATTTGGCCAAAGTAGCGCGGATCATGTGGACTCCAACCAAAGCCATATAAATCATCCCCAGATCATACCAAACTTGGCCCCCAAACTGGGCACAGATTTTCCAATCTGGTCCTGGAGTTTGCCAGAAGGCAGGAGGACCACAGGGATGTGTGGCTGGCTTTTGTCCCAAACTTCTGTGGTTAGTGAAGCTTGTCTGATCTGGATGTACACACAGCTTGTGGAGTTGAAAGACACCAAACCACCTTGAAGGGTCATTTGGTCCATGCTCCTGTGGAAATCACCCGCACAGATAGCTGTGTATCCAACCACCCAATGTTCCCACTACCCATTGTGTCCCCACAAATCAAGAAAGATCCAGAGATGGTTTGTAAATAAATACATTAAGCGTTCCAATTTATTGTTCTCTTAGTACTTTTTAATATCAGCACATTCATGATAAGCCTGAATTGAGGCCCCAAATGAATGAACTTTTATATCTTTCTGAATAGAAATGCAAAGCCTGCCTTATTTGGTAGAGAGACTCTTGAATATAGCAACAGTGTATTTTGTTTATCTGATTTCTAGGGAAGGTTCTTTTTTAAAGTTTTTACTGTTGTTATTGTTTGTTTATTTAATGGAGAGGAACAATAATGATTAATTTTAAGAAGTCATTGTTCGCCTTGCGTCAGTACATTTACTTTCTAGGTTTCACCGAGGCAGCATTGTGCTTTATAGTATTTGTCTGATATGTGAAGTGACCTATATTTTGGGGAAGAAGACCTGTGAAGTTGTGAGTACTTTTGTCTTCAACTCTACCCAGGAGTCCCCAAATAACTGCATCTCTCCATAGAGAGAGGTATTAGCCTCAATTTGTTTTCTTTTCTTTAATACAACAAATTGACATCCCCTTTGATAATTAAATAAGGGCATTCTTGGAAACAAAGGAGCAGGTGTGGCTGGAGCTTCCAAGGAACTTCTCAGTTCAAACGAAGTCACTTCTTACTGTGTGAAGGATTCCTCAGTCTCCCTGAGCAACTGGCCAGCTGGGGAAGAGTTTAGGACACATTGACTGTGTGTTTGGGCAAAGTACTTAACCTCTCTGTGCCTCAGTTTTTTCATCTGTGAAACAATTGATAAGACCTTACAGAGTTTTATGTGGTACAAAAATACTGTAAAATTAATGCAGTCTGGATTATCAAATAAATGTAGGGAAGAAATGATCAAATGTGGGTGGCAGACGTGGTAGTGGAGGCTCAAGCCTTTCATTCCTACAGTGTTGCCACAAAGTTGTTTTTTTTTAAATCTGGAAGAGGTTTCTAGTAGCATTTGTGCAATGAACATCTTACAAATAGAATTCATGTAAAATTTCTGAGGAATTAGTTTTGTTTAAGCATAGTGTAAATTGGAGCCAGAGCCATGTTTGATTGCCTCCTGAATTAGTATTTTAGGAATAGAAATGAGCATAGCTAGGCTACTTTTAGTTCAGACACATAAAGTCAGTTGTTACGTTTCCGAAACACACAGTAGGATCACAGCAATCTGGCTATACCTCTAGTTATTTTTTTTTTTTTATCTTACTGTAGGCTCATTTTCAACACCTGGCCTGACCAGAGAGCACATGTGCCCATTTGAACGTGTCCAGAGAAATTATTTCTGACATCACAATGATGCTGTTTTAATTCTGTGGTACAGTGGTACAGTGATAACTTGGCACATTCTTCTTTGTAGGAACTGTGATATTTGCCACTTCCTGTAACATCCCGTCTTGGTCTTAGATCTGTCCTTTGCAGACTAAAGCTGTTCTTGAGCTCACATGCCAGAGTTTCAAATATTTGTGGATGGTTGTTACACTTTTCTGAAGTATTCCGTTCTCCAGGCTAAATATATTTTGTTCCTTTAATCATTATACACGTGGTGGGAAATGGCTGGTGAGAGAGGAACCTCATGTTTTAGCTCTTTATTGTGTAACACACTGAATGAGTAAAACCATTTTCTATTACATTAATACTTATATATGATATAATACTATATAGAAAGATGGTTATATCATTATCGTATCTCAGCTGGCTGGTTCTTGCTCAAATCTCTCAAGTGGTTGCAATCAAATTGTAGGTGGGATTGGCTTGACTTGGGCTGGCTGTCCAAAATGGCTTCATCACTCACATGTCTGGCTCTGGTCTCAGATGACTTGAACGTCTAGGGCCTGGAATAACTTGGGATTGGCTGGGCTTCTCTCCAGAAGGCCATTCCCTTGCTTGGGCTTCCTCACAGCATAGGGGCCTCAGGGAAAGATGGAAGCATTACATTTACATGGTAGCTCAGTGCACAAAGATGGAAGAAGTAGAGACTGCCAGGTGCCTTAAAGTCTGAGCCTAACCACTGTTAGAGTCAGTTATGTTCTATTGAACAAAGAAATCTCAGAGCTCACTCAGATGCAAGGAGAAAGAACATAGATTTTGCCTCTCAAAGGGAGGAGAATCAAAACATTTATGTCTGCCTGCCTCTCCAGTCTCATCCCTCCTGGTGCTAATGTCTAATGTCACCTCTTAAAACAGCTGCAGTGTTCAAAACAGGACAAAATAATCTAGCATGCTATCAGAGAGGCCACAGGATTTTCTTTTTTTTCTTTTATCTTTTTTTTTTTTTTTTTCCAATTTATAATCTCCTAATAGCTTTTCCAATAACTATCACCTACTTTGGGCTCCTAATAAATTCATCATTCACTGGATCCTTCAAATCTTATTTCACAAACTGTTATTAGGTTTCATATTTGCATAAATTCCTTTTTTCACAAAAGGCAGAATTTGATTTTTGCTAATTCTAAACTTGTTGATTTGGGCTGGTTATTGTTCTGGGAGTAGCTACCTTTAAGATGTTTGAAGAGTGTATTCATAGTTCGGATAGCCTTCCTTACTCTTGTCCATCCTCTGCAGCCAGAGTGAACTTGCCACAACACAAATGTAGGTGTGGTTACCCCTGCATAAAACTCCTCTTCCCCTCCTTCTCCTTCTCCTTAGGAATATCCATGTAGAGATCTTTGTATGGAAATATGTTTTTATTTTTCTTGAGTGAACACTTAGGAATAGAATGGTGGTGTCACATTATAGGTGAATGTTTAAAGAAACAACTGCCAAGCTGCTTTCTAAACTGGATGTAGTGTTTTCTATTCCCATCTGCAATCTGTGTGAAGTTGCATTTGCTCCACAGCCTTGTCTCTACTTGGTAGGATCATTTTTGAAATTTTAACCATTCTAATCTGTGTAGAGTGATAACTCCTTATGGTTTTAATTTGCATTTTCCTGATGACTAATGATGTGTCTCACCTTTCCTCTGCTTCTCAGCTATTTGTACTTCATCTTTATGAAGTGTATGCACAGTTTTGGCCTATTTTAAAAATTGGATTGTTTTCTTATGCTTGAGTTGCGGTGTTCCTTATGTATATTCTGGCTACAAGTTCTTTATCTGATATATGTTTGGGGAATAGTCTCTCCCAGCCTGTGACTTGCTTTTTCATTTTTAAAAATGTCAAAAAGCAGAGTTGTTTAATTCTGATGTCCAATTTATCATGTTGTTTTCTTCTATTGACTGGTGTCTTTTATGTTCTATCTGTCTAAACACTTCTGTCCACTGTGAGGTTGTAGAGATTTTCTCCTGTCTTCTTCTGGAAGTTTCATAATTTTAAGTTTTATATGTAGATCTGTGATCTATTAAATTTTTTTTAATGTTTTATTTATTTTTTCTATAGTTTATTTACTTTTGAGACAGAGAGAGGCAGAGCATGAGTGGGAGAGGGCTAGAGAGATGGGGAGACACAGAATCTGAAACTGGCTCCAGGCTCTGAGCTGTCAGCACAGAACCCGATATGGGGCTTGAAACCACCAACCATGAGATTATGACCTGAGCAGAAGTTGGACACTTAACCAACTGAGCCACCCAGGTGCCCCAGTATTATTTATTTTTGAGACAGAGAGAGACAGAGTGTGAGCAGGGGAGGGGAAAGAGAGAGGGAGAGGGAGAATCCCAAGCAGCCTCCTCATTGTCAGTGCAGAGCCCCGTGTGGGGCTCGAACTCACAAACTGCGAGCCCATGACCTGAGTCAAAATCAACAGTCAGATGCTTAACTGACNCAGAGCCTGACACAGGGCTCAAACCCACTAACCGTGAGATCATGACCTGAGCTGAAGTCTGACACTTAACTGACTGAGCCACCCAGGCGCCTCTCTGATCTATTTTGAATTCCCATTTTTGTATGATGTGAAGTAAGGATGTTATTGGATTTATTTTGCAAACTCTTTCATTTTTATTCATTTTATTTTTAAAAAAAGTTTATTTTTGAGACAGGGGCATGGGAAGGAAGAGAGGGGGACAAAGGATCTGAAGTGGGCTCTGCACTGACAGCAGAGAGCCTGATGTGAGGCTTGAAATCACAAATCGTGAGATCATGCCCTGAGCCGAAGTTGAAAGCTTAACTGACTGAGACACCTAGGCACTCCTATTTTTTTCATTAAAATTGATCTTTTTGTTTTGTTTTGTTTTTCTTTTTTAGAGAGAGAGAGGGAGGGAGAGGGGCAGAGGGAGAGAGAGAGAAAGAGAATCTTAAGAATCGTAAGCCCTGGGATCATGACCTGAGCTAAAATCAAGAGTTGGACATTCAACCAACTGAGCCACTCAGCCACCCCTTGCTGTCTTTTTTAGTCATAAGTTATATATTTTCATAAGGAAGTTATCTTTATTTTCTATTTTTAAGAATTTTTAATGTTGTTTTTTGAGAGAGAGAGAGACAGACAGAGAGAGTGAGAGCCCGGAAGGGGCACAGAGAGAGAGACACACATACAGAATCTGAAGCAGGCTCCAGGCTCCGAGCTGTCAGCACAGAGCCCAACATTGGCTTCAAA